AAACACCCCCCCCCACACACACACACACACATTTCGTGAACAGGCGTTAATGTGAGTATTTTGTTGACATACCTTATTAATGTATTTTGTGAAAAGGCATTAATGTAAACATTTTGTGAATTATAGGCCTTGATGTGAGTAATTTGTGAATAGGCCTTACTAATGTGAAGATTAAATTTGATTATGTTTGTGAGCAGGCCTTAATGTGAACGTTTTCTGTTCTTATGAGTGTTTTTATTTTAATAGAGTTTTTACGGCGCTCGCAACTGCATAAGGTCATATGGGCGTCAAGGGGTGGATGTCAACAGAGAAGTTCTTTCAGGAAATCTGGCTTACTCTGTTCACCTCTCTAGCTTCACCAGCACCAAGTCTGCTTCTACTATCAAGGCACCCCGGAAATAGCGGGTCACTAGAGTGTAACAAACATACGAAAGAAGAAGGGGGAAATGACGATAGTAAGGATTAGGAAAGGGAAGCAGCAGTTTCCTGTCGAAGTTCAGGCACAGGTATGAGCATGACATCGATAAATCAACCCATTTACAGTTCTACTGCGCATAAGAAAAAGTTAATGTCCCCCACATGGTTAGACCGGCGAAACACAAAAAAAATCCCTTCCCTCTTTTAGTTTAAGCGAGCTTAGGAGAGTTCAGATTCCAAATATAGTATACATCCGCAGCCTGCCAACAAATAATATTTTTGTCTGGCATTGTGCAGAAAAAAGCTCTTAAGTTTAAAGTGTTTTTTAAAGATCGTATTCCATTTAACGTTCTTTATTATAATGTTTTATCTTTCATTTTAAGAGTCTTTTAAAGATCTTATTTCATTCTATGTCCTTTACAATAATTATATTATATTATTCATTTTGAGTGTCTTTTAAAGATCATATTTTACTCCATGTTCTTTAACGTAATGTTATATTATTTACTTTATTATACATGTATGCCTATGACATTATCATTATTTAAATTTATTAATTTTGTCGTTTTATTTTTTTAAATTTAGACCCTTGGCATGAACAATATAATATTAATTTTCAGATGCTATGTATAAACTGTACATATTGTTATCTTAATGTATTAGAGTGTATGAATAACGCAAGAAATATGTTACAGGTAAGCAAAGTGTCGCCGTAAATAAAATGTGTGAGTTTTTTTGTTTTGTTCTTTTTGTTTCTTTTTTGTGGGGGGGGAGGGGGTAGGGGTGTTGTTAAAAATAGTTAAAGTATAAGTTTTACCGCACTTGGAACACAATGAGATCATATTCCGAAGATTGGAGGTGTTACAAGAGAGTAGCTGACAAAGGTAAAAAGGAGCTGAGCTTCAAACGTACCTTTATGCATCACTGTATGAAGTGGCTGTAAACAATTTTTTCTTTGCTCTAAATACAAAATGATTCCATAGGCTTTGAACAGTTGGCTTTTTTTGGTGTGTTTTTCTTTTAATAAAAAGTTTTGAAAAACTATTGCTCGTGATATACAAAGACTTGCAATCGATTTCCAAGGGAGGGGGGAAGATGGGGTATTCCAAGAGTTAATGAACGCAGTCGATCCACAAAAATTCAGAAGGCAACTTTTGTGATTCAGCTAAAACAGAAAAAAAATTAAGCCCCCCCCCCCCACACACACACAGAGTCAAACCCCTCCAAAACAGAACAGACACCTAGATCAAAGTTACCCCCCCCCCAAAAAAAAAAACCCCACACAACAACAACAACAAAAAACAACAACAACAGCAAAAATAACAAACCCAGAAAACACACCCAAAAAAACCACAACGGCAGTAAACCACAGCTGGGGCTGACGCATGCAGGCCCATTACTACTTTTCGTGACCTTTAATGTCCAAAAGTGATTGACATTAATAATAATAGATATTCTATAGTGCAAACCCCCGCTCAACAGCAAGCTCTAGGCGCTTCACAATCTATACTGTAACCCCAGCAGACCTGAGAGCATTCTGAAACAACCTCGACTTCCTGGGAAGCAAACGGTACAAACAGCCATTTATTGGCGCTAAAACAATAACACTCTGACAAGATCTTCCGCTGTTTATTGCAGGGTACCCATTCCCACTTGGGTGAAGTGAGGAAAATTCGTGTAAAGTGCCTTTCCCAAGGACACAACGTCGGGCCCGCAGCTCGAACCAGTGAACGCACAATCTCACGATTACGAGTCCGGTATCCTAACCACTAGGCCACCGACGCCATTATTTGAAATTTCTGTTACGTCCCCTGTTAAATCTTACTTAGTACTGAGTACTTATCGATGTTTTGCTCTCTCAGTCGATTTGTCAGTATCGACTAGCGCCCATCCCCTACTGAGCGGTACGGGCGATTTTACGTTCCAGCACTTCTCCGGCCCTGGGTGCCGAGTACCGAGAGTACCGGCACTGTAACCGGCGGTACCGGGACTGAGAATAGATGACGTCAGAAACTCTGCACGGCTAGTGTTTTAGCAGCTGCAGTTTCCCATCAGTCCCCCCTTTCCCAACCCAACTCCAGCCTATCGTCGTACGCATTGATGATTTTATTTTCATTTTTCTGGAAAAGGGAGGCGAGGGAGGAGAGGG